GCAGCCAGTACGCTCTTCTGAAAGACATGGAAGACTGTAGTTCATGATGTTAATTTCTATCGCTAGCATCTCAAATTACCAAACGCTTGTGAAGGTTTTGGTCAGTAGAGCTAGGGGCAAAATCTCTGTTAGACACTTTTCTTCAGCTCGTTCCCAGCTTCTGCAGCAGCAGGAACAGGGACTCGGTTGTGTTCCATCTTGTCCAAAAACGATGTTGCTGGTGGTAGCCCTTAGGGAAGCATTAGATGTGTGTGCGCTCTAAGAGGTGGGGGATATTGCAGGTATTTCAAGGCGAGCAAAAAAGCCATGCTCAGCATGATCCATCCTTCACGCTGCTCTGGGATCCACCAAATTCCAGGAGGGTGGGAGAGGGGAAGGATGGATAAATATGGACGGACAGCCTGCCTGGGAGCTGTCGAGCTGAGGTGCTGGGTACTGAACACTTGTCCATATAGGCAGAAGTTTGCAATCTCTCGTGGCTTTGTGCAGGTGTGAGAAATACCCACATTTACTTCTACAAAAGAAGCACACAACATGATCTTACTTCATTAAAAGTTTTATGTTTAACTGATTTTTTTTTTTTATAACATAAAACTACTTTCTCTGCTGAGGGAATGAAGGAGTCCTCTGGAAGTGATTATTTCACAGCAGTTCTTAGTTGAACTAAGATGACTTGTAGAATTTCTGTTTAAAGAGTAGCTTGGGGCTGTTCTTCAAACATTTCTCTGCCATTTGAAGGAGACAAAAAGGGCATCGTGTTCGGTATTCGTGGATTGAGTTGTAACAATCTGTAAATTCTTCCAACCAGTTTGCCAAAAGAAAAATACTATTGATAGTAAAAATTGAATATTCCAAACAATACTTAGCATACTATCTTTGGAGACAATTTTTAAACTTTTTTTTTTTTTTCTTTCTTTCTTCCTAGGGAGCAACTGCCTATGTGTTAACTTTGGAGCAAAATCAGTATGCAATTTGGAACCCCAGTACTGGCTGTTTTTATGGGCAATTTGATACTTTCTGTCCATTAAAAAATGTCTATTGTCTGATCAGCTGTGATAATGTAAGAGCCTCCAGTCTTTTCATATTTCTGTATTCCACTCTCTCTGTATATATATTCCCATATATATAAGCACAAGAGTTGAAATTATATTTCTTCATCACCTGTATCGTGAGTTTGTGCATGTTAGTGTAGCTGCATCTCTGATAAGTCAGTCATGGCATTAATGATTGTATCTGATTTTAATTAGGATTTTCAGCCACCTGAAGCAGCTAAGTAGTTATAAGATTTTTTTTTTTTTTTTTTTTTTTAAATATTCAGAAGGCAGCGCTGCCTTGTTCCATGGGAATTCACACTGCTGATTCCCAGAGCAGCTCAGGAGTGTACAGTATTTGATAGCTGCGAGTGCAGAATGGCTTCTGTTATGTGCCAGGAATTTTTTTTACATGCTTCTAACTTTCTTTCAGATCTGGTTTAATATTCAGGAGTACGATTCGCCCGTGAGGATCAACTTTGACACCAGCAAAGCTAAGCTGTGGAAGTCTTTCTTTTCACGAAGCTCCCCCTACCCTGGCCTCAGCAGCATTCAGGTATTAACCTACCCATTACCGACTGAGTGTGAGTGTGGGCGGTGGGAGATGACAGAAACTACACACAGAAACAGACCAAGTGCTTTGGACTACTCTGATTTTACAGTATTTTAATATACTTAATGTGTTTTACAAAATGTTTTTAAAATACCAGGCCCTTGTTAAAGAATGAAAGCAGATTCACAAATCCTGTGAAATGAATGTGCATCTGTTGTCCTCAAAATGCCCCTGTAAGATCTGAGGACAAGAGCACAGAGGGACAGATCTCTAAAACACTCAAAGCCAAAGCAGTAGCTTGGCACTGTAACCTTGGTCTGTCGAGCAGCCGTGAAGGCAGCATTTCAGTCCCTGCTAATGGCCTTAGTAAGCAGGCCTGAATTTCTCTACTGATAATCTAATGCATAAAAAAAATGAGTGAAGAATGCTGAAAATAAATAAATGGAGAGTCACACACATTAGATTCTTATGTTTTTATTTTGTTTCATTTTACTAAGTAATACTATTACTAAGTAATAGATTGTTCTGGCATAATTGTGAGCTCATTTATGAGTTACCACAGTAACTCCTAAACCTACGTTGTTTTAGAGCTAGGAAAAACTGTTGTTTTTAATATTTAAATCTTTTTTATATTACTAGCCTGAAGAATTAATATACCAGCCTTCGGACAAGGCAGCTGTGGTGGAGCTGCAGGGCAGGTAATGCTACCTCTAAACCAAATTTTACCAGCCTCCTCACTGCAGGAGGAGCAGCGTCCTCAAGAGTCCTCCCCGGGTCCTCTTAAGAAGCCACATTGAGGGCTGGGACTTTACCAAGGTCTAAATGAGAAACTCTCCTCCAGTAGAGTCTTTCTTTCATTCCCTTTAATGCAGAGTGACAGAAGTGGGGAGGAAATGAAGCACGACTGAGCACTTCTACTGTTGCAGTATTTCTTAATAAGCTAAAATAGATGAGGGGCAGAAAGAAAGAAGGGAAATAGGCTAAAAACCACTTTAAGGCCCTGGGTTCCTCTGTTTGTGCTGAAGCTGAGGATATAGCACAGCATCGGGCTGTGCTGGCAGTGCTTTCCTGCACGTTTAGGTATTGAGGAGTTTAACTGAGGTCACTTGTAGCCCCATAATCTGTATGCAGCAAGTGGGTCAAGGGAGAGCATTTCAGCTGTCCAATAAATATTAAAATGTCACAATGTGCATCTCACCACAGGATTGAAAAAATATTAAAGGAGAAGATTATGGAATGGAGACCAAGGCATCTAACACGCTGGAACAGATACTGCACCTCAACCCTGCGCCACTTTCTGCCGCTGCTGGAGCAGAACCGAGGCAAAGATGTAGAAGACGATCATCAGGCCGAGCTGCAGAAGCAGCTCGGAGACTACAGGGTACAGCTGGGAACTGTGGGGCCTGTGCTGCGAAACTAACACAGGAGAACAGCAGCCCTTATGGGGCTCTGGGGCACTGGGAGTTACTTTCAGTAGCATGAGGTGGTGATGGCAGGACCATGTTACAACCTCATTGCTGAGGGCCTGCATACAGAAGCATCAGAAAGGGCAGGCCTGGTGGGCCATTCTGGTCTCTTTGAAATGTTGGAGAGAGGTGCTGCTCAATGGAAGGGAGAAGGGGCAGCCCTGTTCTTGCTACTGTGGTACCACACCAACAAGGGCCTCTAGTGCATAAACACACGCGCAGTTTTTAAATGCTGGCGGGGGGTGGTGATTGCCCTCAAGCCCCCTCAGTGAACACCCTGCACTTGGGCCACAGCCAAGCGCACGGCTTAGCCAAGCACTTTGCCCTTTATTTAAACAAACAGCTGGGTTTTCCCCTTAAAGAAAGTTTAAGTAGTAGTTACTAGACCTATACCTGTACCAGGTGTGTTCTGCAGCAAGAACAAGTGGTGTCAATACTGGGCACCACTCTAGGAAATTTCAAAGAAGTTCCAGTGTCTGTTCCTCTTGGACAGGGTAAGTACTATGGACAGTGCAGACACAGGAACACAAACTGCTACCAATGACAGAGCACAAGAGAACTTAGATAACAACACGAGTTAGAATGATTTATTTATTCCAGTGCCTTACCTTTTCTTTTTGACTTACATGAGGGTTTTCTTTCTTTTTTTTCATTCTTCTCTCTTTCCCCCAGGTCTCTGGATTCCCTATTCACATGCCCTTTTCTGAAGTGGGACCGCTAATAGAAGCCGTGCACAGCACGGGCGTTCACACCATCGACATTCCCAGCGTCGAGTTTGCTCTGGCCGTGTACGTCCACGCTTACCCCCAGAACGTGCTCTCCGTCTGGGTTTACGTCGCTTCGCTCGTACGCAACCGGTAGCGGGGACGAGGCTGAGTGCCCCTATGGAACTGCCCTATGGAGGGGTAAAGAGAACTGGCTGCTTCCGCTACTGGTTTGAGCTACCCCTGTACATCAAAAGCTCCAGTAGTTTTTAAACATTTCTATTTTAATAAAATATTTATAATAAAATCTGTGAAAGTGCTTTTTTTACAGTGTAAGATGAAATATTTAGCTATACGTTATAGATGATCATAAAAATGGTTCACTGAACCAGAAACTCAGATCAGTGCTGCAGGAGTGGCGTTAGCTGTTAGTAATGCTGTCAATACTTCTGCCTTCACTTCTTCCAAGACAGAGTGAGGGTGGGTTGAACTTAGGGAAGATGGTCAGCAGGCTGCATCAGGCACTGAGAAATTAGGACTGCTGAGTTTAATTCCAGCCTAGGTTGATTCTACTTGAGGTTTTATGTGCCTGCTACCTCCTTCAGAGCCTGGGTCTGGCACCTCTTCAACACTGTAAGCAGGAGAAGCTCCTCAGGAGCAGCCACAGGGTCATGGCCTCTCACTGGAAGCAGCTCCTGCCTCTCGTATGGATCCCTGCGGCCAGGAGCGGCTGCAGGAGCGCAGGGCCACCCCTTTGTGTGGGGCAGGGCCACCCTCTGGGTGCTGCTGCCCCTGCCAGGAGCTGCTCGAAGCCGGCAGCGCTGTCCTGGCCCCGCCTGCTGCCACCCGCTGCCTTCAGCCAACAGCAGCAGCAGCCCCGAACAGCTCTAACACCTGCTCAAAGCAAGTTTAGCCCAAGCAAATTTCACACAGCCCACTTAGAACCGGGAGCTGCCAGAGCGGTACCTTTCTCCTCGCCCCTGGAGCCTTAGAGCTGCTTCTGGCAGCTCCACACAGCACCTGGGTTGGTGTTAATAAATGTCCAGTCACCAACCTTTGTTTTACACCTGTGATTTAGAACTGACTTCTTTGGAAACATTTCCAAACACATCTCACACCAGCCATGGAAAGTACTAGCACAGAGGGTGTAGCTCTGCAAACAAAAACGCTGGAGGCTACTGGCATTATATACATGGATATTACAACTTAAAAGCACATCTATTTGATATATTTGACATAAAACTTCTTTATTGATGGGAATGTTTTATTTGAGTATGCTTTCCAAGCCCAAATACAAAACCAAATGCAAAAGGAAGGTGAGATTTTTCCCTATTTTGCAGTTATAAAGAACTTGAGGATGAGAGGAAAGGGGGGAAAAACAAGGCTTCTAAAGATGTGTAGTTGTTACCCAAATGCAAACAATACATTTCAACTTATCTGCAGAGCTCTACAGCGTGGATTTAAAAAAAAAAAAAAATCCCATTCACTTAACACAAAATAATCCAGTAGACTTAAGTGCCAAACTTGGAGAAAAGTAGCATAAAAAAAAAAAGAGAGATGTTTTTCCCATCTTCCCCAAGTTAATAAAATACCCCCCAACACCCTTCAAATCCACGGAGCTAGTGAGATTGTTACAACAGTGTAGAGCACACTCGGGCAGCCGCGGCTGGGGCAGCCCCTCTCCGTGCGGCGCGGCGCAGCGCGGGGGCAGAGGCTGCGGGCGGCAGGGGAAGTGCACGGCAGCGGCCTGCGCAGCCACGGCAGGGCAGCCTCACTCGCCAGAGCGGCAGCAGGCCCGAAAACCACACTGCAAGTTCTGGCATCCACTGGCCGTTTCAGCATGGGGACCTGCACGAGAACAGAGCACATGTGAAAAGAAGGAAAGAGGCCTTTCGGGATTCCTAGAGCCTGATTATTCACAAAAAACAGTAACAGAACAGTGTTCTTCATTGAGCACTGTGCACAGCTGAAGCACTGGTGACAGGAAAGCTTGATGTTCTGCTCCAAGGCTTTCCTCTCTGATACTTCAGTCCCACGACAACAAAACATTCAAATTAACACAGATGTACAATGTTGAGAAACAAAATCACCAAGTGTAAGAGCCTCTCAAAGCTGTTTCAGAGCAGAGGTCAATTTGCACAACACATTATTTTACTCTCAGTTTGCGAGGTCCTATTTATTATGACAATAGCAATACAAACAATACCTGCAAAACAATTTCTGCTAACACAGAGAGTGTTTTTAATGCTGGAAAAAAGCACTAGAGCAGTTTTCTCTAAGCAATACTTCGTTGTTGGCTAAACTTGTATTTTATCCCTAGAAATTGAAAGACTGCAAAGAAAAGCATCTTAATTATCAGTTCAATTATCAAAACCCCTAAATCTAAAAATTAGTCCATAAAAAGAGTTGCAAGCACAAACAGGGTAAACCAAAACTGTAGCTCCACCCACCTCCACTTACCTTTACTTACTGTAAACCCTTTAATTTGAAATATTAAAACGATGAGATAGGAAACTTAAAATGTATTAGTAGAGGGTTTTATTTCCTGCAGCCTTATGTCTGATTTAGAGACAGGCATTTATTTGCTGGTTGACTTAACTCTGATACCCAGTTGAATTCAACATTTTCAATTCTACTGAAGCAAGAGGGTAAAGGACTAACCAAGACAACCCCCTTTCTTTCCTCTTTAGTAACTAAAACACAAGAACAAAGAGTATTTGTGAAGCCTTTAATATACTGAGAAAGGACTAGCAAGGTAAGGCAGTGAACCAGGTCAGCATGGTTGCCAAGCAGGACAGGTTGTCTTTTCCTCAAACTTCAACTTAAGGTCATAATGCAATTAACTCCCAGGAGCCTGGTGTCTGGAAATCAGCTTTTTGCTTCATACTGTACCATCAGTGGAGCAACATTCTATAAGATAATGAAGTTAACCATTTTATTGATGCATGAGACTTAATAAAATCTCAAACTACAATGTAGGACCATATGCAGAATATACTAAGACTTTCATTTCAATAAATTCTATTTTTTGACACAGAAAAAATTCTCTCTCAAGCAGAGCTCAGGAGTGAGCTGCAGGGAATGTCCTCCCACATTCCTGCCCATCTGGAAAAAGAAAAAAATCATCATTAGGTCCTACCTTTTCCTCTGGACACCTTGTTAAGCTTAATCCAGTCCTATGGCAAATGAGGATCTTTGATAGCCTTTGGTAAGTGACCTTACGAAAACCCAGATTTATCGTGTCCCCCAGACCTCCTCTTGCCCCCAGTGCTTGTCAACGCCCTTACACAACTCCGGCAGGTTGAGCAAGGCACTGTTTCCTCTTACGGCAGCCTCTTTCCCAACACACCAGCCTTACCCGTGCGCTCAGCGCCCCTGCTCTCGGGTACAACCCATGGGTGGACGTCACGGGAGGGCTGTCAGAGCCACCCAGCGCTCCGCAGGCTCCCCGGATCCTCCGGCCTGCGCCGCGACGCCCAGGCGGCCCGTGCTGAAAGCGGCGCCGCGCGGCACGCTCGCAGGCCCCTCCGGCCCGCACGGTCACGGCCCCTCTGGCCCACGGGGCTCGCGGCGCTACCGCGACTGAGGGTAACACTGCTGCCCCTCAACTAACACTGAGCGTGGGCCTAAGTCTTTCACGCCCCTTACAAACACACTGCTTCCCCGTTAGCGGGGTTCACAGCTCGGTCAGACATGTTAAAGGCAAGACTGAACTGGCTCCAGCACCACTGTCTGAGGAAGGTCATTGATCCACTCTGTATTTTTCTAGCCCTTCTTTAGCTTCTCTTTTTACATCTATCTGACATATAACTGCAGAATTCAATTCCCTTTTGATACTCTTAAATTCAGACTCTTAGTTTCCATTGTTTCCATTAGTTTCCATTCCACGCCTGATTTTTTGCTACCTGTTCATGCAACTCTGCTCCTGACTTCATCTGGACTAGACATTATTTCCAAAGGGTATTTAAGCCCTTTAATCCTTCCCCAAATACGCTCTTCTGTTTCGACTCTACATACATTGGCCTGCTCGTCTCACCGAGACGCTGTTTAGGGAATATAGCAGCTCTCTCTACTTCCATTTCTATCATTGAGGAGGGTGATGGTCATTTCCACAGGATATCTCGGATCCTACAGTGAATGAGCAGAGTTCCTCCCTTTCCACCAGCTCCGTGGTGTCTCTGCTGCTGGCACCGACACATCAGCTAAGGGCCTGACTTACAAAGCAGCGAGCCTGGCGTCAGTTTACCTGGTGAATCAGCGTTCGTCTTTATTCCCAGACCTGCCACAGCAGATTTATTGCTGCTTCCTTCCAAACTAGATTACCACAACGCTCTTTATACTCATTACTCAGACGCCTCAGGTGACCCAAAACACAGGCCTACTTATTCACCCGATGACTTCATTTAGTTACATGTACCAGCGAAACAAAGACATTAGTCGAGGCTTTCTAGGAGAGGTTTAGCCCTGCACCAGTAAAACGTAACCGCCCGGACCGGGCGCACGGCGAGGAGCCGCTCAGCCCAACCCGGCCGAGCAGGCCGCGGCCTCCACGTGCCCGAGCGACACGGGCCTGTGTGTCCAGGGCCGCTGCTCTGCCCCACCAAGGGGCAGGGCCGAGGGGCGCGCGGGCAGCAAGGAGAGCACCGCAACCCGGCGCCGTCCCCAGGCCGCACCGCCCGCCACGAAGCGCGGCCGGACTCAGCGCCTGCACAAGACACCCCAGAAAGGCTACAGGTCACAGCAAAGCCCTCATGTGTCAACAGAGACAACAAAGTGGCATCTAAACCATTCAAAGAAGGCTGCATTCCATGCTGCCGGTTCCAACTTTTTGTTCTGCAAGACTGACGTCTTTTCCGACACGATCCCAGAACAGATCTCCTTCCCCGCAAACAACCTCTGATAAGCTGGTGGGCAAAGAAAATTATGAAATTATTCTCTACAATGCTTACAGATCAGCAATCTTTGAATAACATTTAATGCAATCTATATATATACACACACACTTGAAGAAATGTAAACTGCTTCAGATACGGAATTATTTTAATGAAACAGCCGTTATTTTCCCTACAGTTACTCTAAAAATACCAAAAATGCCAAAGAATTTTTGGTATTCTACACTCTGATAGTGTAAAGTGTCAGAGAAATCCGGGTGCCCATAGGGTGGAATAAGGCACTAGTTCAACACTATAATGATAACATAATCAAGTCTGAATTTCTTTCCCCCCACTTAGGTAAAGCTGCAGATAATTCAGTAATTCCTATTTCAGAATTTTAGTATAATGTCTTTTAATTGGCTTCCATCTTCCAAAAAAGCAAATAAAAACACCTGAGATGCTATCATTTCTCAACAGTGGCCAAGTCAGAGGTGGTTTTTTTCTTGTTTTGTTTTTTAAACATTCTCTCTTGCTCATTTATTAACAGAAACAGACAGTTCATCCAAAGGCATCTGCTCTACAGAACAGAGCAGAGCTTACTGCCTTACTTAAAGTAGGCAACAGACAGAAAGAAAGGAACAGGAAATGAATCAGGGCAACCTGACAGAATCACACAAGAAATACTCTGTTTAAATACAAAAAACAAGCAACTTTGAGGAGATTATGAAACAACCTTAAAGTGGTGCAAGATTCCAACAACTGATACTAGCTCAGTAAACTAAAATAAAGAACATTTATTACATTTTAGAGTCAAGATTACAAGATTAAGGGAGAAATACAGAAATAGACAAAGGCAAACCAGATCACCAAGTCTGGTATTACTGACAGAAGCGAGAACAGGGGAAATAGCAAGGATACAGATGTAAAAGGAAAGGTTTTTGCATTTATCTTTCAAGACTTCTTTAAACGCAGCACAATGCAGAAAGGAGAGTCAACAAAAGATTTTAAAAGCAACCTTAAACTGTCACATTGAAATGCAAGGAGATTAAGAGTTGTTGTCTGGATAAAACAGAAGGAATTAAAAATGGAAAATGCCTCAAAAGAGACATCAGTGTCAAAAAAGTCCAAGAAGATATGCAAGAATTATGGAAACCAAACACCATTTCAAACACTTTCATTTCTACTGTCAGGATACAGCTCATCATCTTTTATCTAGTGCAGTGGATGCAATAACCAAACACAAGTGCAGCCGTATTTGTAGTACTAAAGCTCTGCCTTCCCACACCTTGAAGTGGCTGCATCTCAAAAGAGATGCAAATTGGGCTAAACACCAAGAACTCATGGGGAACACAATTTTAAGTGTCATTAATTCAGAACCCCAGCAATTAATTTGTACTTCCCTGTGAATTGATGTCTTCCCTTTTTCCCCAGTCTGTTGCACTTACCTGTTTCCAATCCATATGTGGAGCACAAGCTATAGCATCGTTTGCATCTCTAATCCTACAAATTCTTACCCGTCAGGCATAATAAACCCAACAACAGTGCTGTCAACTCTGAAAGACTTCCAGTCTAAGTGTATTTTATGCCTTTATCTATACATACGAATGCTTCAACTTTAGACCCATCCCTAAGTCAAGCAACAAAAGGGAGGAAAAAAAAAGCCACTTTGCACAAGAACACATGATGGTAGAAACAAAACAAAAATATCCTACAATAAGATAGAAGGCATCCTCTCCATGTCAAGCTAAAAAAACAACTATGCAAAGAAGTATTCCTCCCCTCCGCCCTCCTCCTAAGATATCATCACTTAGGTATCAATGTAACACGAGCCTCTTTGCCTCTTTGGTAAGTTTTCACCATTAATAAATAAATAAATAAATAAAATACAACTACATGATTTACAGAGAAGGAAAGAGATGGGAATTTAACATTTATGTTAGTACAAATAGTAAGTGCTAAAAAACAGATAGGTGGATGAAAAATGCTTCCCTAGGCTGCACTCATCTGCCCACAGACCTGTACTGAAAAGACCTAAGTACAGAAGTCCAAGACAAAGTGAGAAGATTTAAGCTGTCACTTTGTGATTAGGCCACAGAGCTCAGCGCTACAGGACCAAGAAAAAGGCTTGTTCCACTTTGTTCTTTCAAGTGCTCCCAAGCCCAACGCTGCTCCCCCTTCCCAAAAGGCATTACCGTTAATGTTGTCACAGTAGTAGAAGTGTTCGTCCTTGAGCGAGGGGCAGGCGGCCACCAGGTCCTGCAGGCCGGCGGCGGTCACGGCGAGGCAGCCCGAGAGGTTGAGGTGCTCCAGGAGCGGCAGTCCCCCCGCCAGCGCCAGCGCCCTGCCAACAGAGAGGGGCAGCGTGCTGAGAGCCACCGGGTCCCACCAGGACACCCAGATCGCTCCCCCAAGCCATCTTTGAGCACAACTGAACTGCTCGAGCGACGCGCTTGGCTTGAAGCCTGGCCGCATCGCGCCCGTGAGGCGGCGGCTCGAGATGGCGCCCGACAGACCTGAGGGAGCCAACAAATCCCTCTGACAAGGAGAGGCTTAAACGGGGAGTCACCTTGCTTAGGGATAGCGCCAAGCACTTCAAAGGACTAGCGTGACGTTCCCTCCCCAAAGACCTGCCACCCTGGTGAACTCACCAAGGTGAGGAGAGATGTTCAGCCCACCCTGAGAACAAAAGTAGGTGACCTTCCCGTGCACTGCACTTAGAAGTTTGTCTTGCATTTCCTTGGTTCAACCTCTTTGGAATCCAAATCCATCATTTCCTAAGTTTGACCAGTGCTGCCTCTCTCGGTCCAAACACCACCACAATACTCAAATGGAAAGCCCTTCTTTTTCCTCAAAATTCAAGACAGTTCAGCTGCCATCGAAAACACCTCATGAATACAACATATTTGATTGATCATGTCAAGTTAGACTGCTGAGTCCTCAGCAAGATCACGGGGCAGCTAACCAGACTTCAGCCACAAACAAGTTCATCTTGTGATACAGAGTGACACACTCCTGAATGGAGCCGGGACATGAAACTGGAAATGCCCCGAGAGCATCAAAGGGCAACTTGCTCTTGGGAGCAGATGAAAGCAGAACCGCTCACTGGTTGGGTGGTTGAAAGAAACAAACAGAAAAATGTTTCCACTAGGAGGTTTCCAGTTCTTTCACAGAGCCACACGTTACTCAGGTAAACGCAAGCCTACCGCTTTTATCGTGGCACACACTCTCACCTCTTCAGGTGGGATATCTTCCCTTACCCAAGGAGTATTGATGGAAACCTTGGAAACTTGTGCTACTAAGCCCTTCTTAGGAGGGCACTTTACCCCTCAAATGAAGGTGAAGCACTGGAAGAGCACAATCAATAGCACCAGCGCTGCTCTCATTTGACTGCAACGTACAATATATGCAAACACGAGGCCTTCTGCAGTGAGTAGTAAATGCTAAAGCACATCTCAGCAGGTGAACGCCAGTATCCCAGTTTTGCCCTGTTTTTATTACAAAACACTAACTATACTTTTTTTTCAGTACAATATAAAATATCAATGGCAAATAATGTCGCACAAGAACATTATATACAACTCTTCTAAAGCCCAGTCTCAGTGCTCATACCAACCTATCCCTTCCTCCTTATATAATCTCACATTGTTTATATATGCATACAAGATTATGTAATTATCTACACAAGTTAAATGAATTGTTACTCCAGCTTTTTAAAGTTTGAAGAGCACCATAAGTTTGACAGGCATCATGAAAAAAAATTTAATAGATCAGCGAGACATCACTGAATTTCCTGCTAACATGCAGGAAGCACCGAATCTAAAAGCCTAAGTGCTGCCTAGAACATTCAATGTACAAAAATACTTCAGAGGATGCTTCTCACAAAGATTATTTCAAAGAAAAATAGATCAGACAGATACACCCCCAAAAAACTGTTACAAATACAACTATAAAAGACAAGCTCTACTGCACCAAGTAGCTCATGAAGTGCCTTCTCACCTGAGAGCACGATCTGTGACCTGGTAACATCCAGATAGACTGAGAAACTGAAGAACTCGTGCAGTCTCTTCACCTGATTTTTCACTCCCAGAGTATGTCAAGTCTTTTTTCTCTGACTGTTTAGTCCTTGGTTTTTTACACAGTGCAGAGGACTCGGGAAGTGCTCGAATAGTTCTTAGTGCTGTCCCAGCACAGCAAAACGAGTGACCGCAGTAAATCAAGTCAGTAGAAGCACAGTGCTGCTGCCACCCTCTAGTCCTTAATCCATAAATATTCCTAGCGTAGCAAGATGCAGAACAATTAATATTGGCTGCTGGTTCCACAAGACAAAACCCTTCAACGTTTCTGTGTCTCCACTCGGCAGCATCTTCGATGTCAGCTAAGTCATCTGCATCCAGCATCCACACGTAAGCTGCGTTGAAGCTTTCCGAATTGTCAGGTTTAGTCCAATGATGCTCGTTACCTCCTCCCTCAATGAGATTCTCATTGCTGATCTCGTGGAAACAATTATATTTCTTGTTGGATTGAAGGGCAACCTCTTTATTTTTCCATAACGTCTTGGCATTCCTGTTTCTGCAGCTTTTCAGAATGCCTCTGTTATGGTGAGTTGATATGATACCCAAAGCTCTGGAAATCCTCTCTACTGCCACATCCGTGATTTTTTCACAGCCAGACAGATCAAGGTGGCGAAGGTTTTGACAATAACCAACTGAAGACCAACTGAAATCAGGAGAAAAAGTCACTTTTTAAGTTTTTGTTCACAAACAACTGTTAAGGGCAAACATACAAAAGAACATTTCCTAAGGAAAATACATACTTAAATTAATTCACAGACAATCCCTGGACTTACACTTGATATTTGACACTGCAAAGTACTGTATATAAACCTAGAAAAACTGTCTACGGAAATGAGGAGTGAACCACAAATTCAGTAACATCACGCATTTTTTCCATCTACATCAAGACCTAAAAGTCCAAATTTACCACCTACTTCAGACTGAAAACATTAAAACATACAATAGTTGAAAAAACAGTTCTTGCTGTGTATGATGTTGTTCCCTAAAGCCTTTATTTCAACTAGAATTCCTTGTGCTAACAAGCTGAAAAATGTTGATACAAATTCAACACACAAAGATCTGGAGTATCACACTGACAAAAAAGTTGTGCACTGAAATAGCCACTAAATTTCCAATACCCCACTAAGACTCAGCAGCACAGGCTCTGCATCCAGATGGTATGGGATGATATCCAATAAACATCAAGAAAATTTATAAAGACCTCCATGAAACTCAGATATTCACATTAACATACGTAAGCCTTGGAGCTTTCCCTGTCATTTGAATGCAGTATTACAAGTACTACCAGCTACAGGATATCTGTGAAAAACTTCCCAAAGCTAAAGGTAATCTCAAGGTTTTAAAATCACAGCAAAATACAATTATTATGGATAGCTACATGTTGAAAGGTGATATGTATGCAATAGTGAAGCCACGGTGTTTTGGTGCATGATCAAAGTTAGATGCTTCACTTGGTATTTTACAGTTTTTTTAGTCCGTTTTAGTTGTTGGTTATGTGACTCAGCTTATCCTAAGGTAAAAAACAGGGTTGTAGACATCTTTTAATGAACTTACCCCCAAAAGAACCAATTGTTGTATTGAATACTACTAAAAAAATAAATAAATAAAAATGGCAGTTAGCTAACCTCTCAAATGCAGAGTCCGATATGTCAGTTTGAGTGAGATCCAAATATTCCAAGTTAGGACAAAGCTCCAAGATCTGTCTTACCTAGAAAAGGAAGAATAAAACGAAGCCATAATAAACCAAGGAAGTTGCAGAGAATGTCAGAAACAAAACACACGCTCCTATTCAATTGCAACTTATTTTCTCTAACAACAGGGCGTTTCAAATTCATGAACATCAGTTATTAATTACAGACTGCATAGCCACAATTACTAAGACTAGTTTCAAATTACATACCATTTTGCTAGAGACTGCAGAACTGTAGGCCAGTACTAATGTCTTCACGGAAGGGCCTACATGTGGGAGGACATTATGAATTAAGCCATGAAGTAAACGCTTCTCCATTTGTGCTATATTAATGGCAAGTGAATCTTCAGCTGCTTCTTCTGCAAGATAATACAAAAATAAAGACTTCAAACATGCTCTGAATCATTTGGAACTTCTCATCAGTTTGCATCAAACAAAGTATCCAGAAACTAATGACAGCCTAACAAGGTATGTCTCATAACATACCTCAAACTTTGGTGGAATTCTAGCTCAAGAAGTTACTAAAGCCTCATGAGGTCTGTACGCTCGCCTTTCTGACAGCTAAAAAGTTTAATTCCAAGAGTAAGTAAAAGAGGCTCAAATGCAAGTGACTATAAAGTGATTTGGAGAAATTTATTTCAGGTTATGTACTGCTCAGAGCAAGTTTGGGACAGTTACTCCCACTGATTTGCTTTTAACAGTAATTTGAGTAAAAGCTGTAATCTCACAGGCTATTCCACTGTCTGTAATACAACAGATTATCAGATGGCGGTTTAGGACAAATTTTACATTAAGTCTACAATGCGTGGCAATGAATTTTCAGAAGATGACTTATCCAGACGTCCTGATATTCTGAAAGGTGGGGCCTACCTTTTACCTCCTTCCTAGTTCCAGACACGTCCTTATAGCTCTTCCCTTCTACCTGCATCAGTCAGTGTCTGCTTTCTCCTACATGCACTAATTCAACTCAACGTAACCCACTCAGCGTGGGAGGGGTGTTGCTGCCTTTTCATGCAGGTAGGAGTTGGGATGAGATGAATATGGAAAAAAAGCACTGCTTTTAGAAACGCTAAGTAGTTACTTGATAAAACTTCCCAAGCAGGTGGCACTTAGATTTATACTAAGTATGTATATATACATACATACATATAGGCACACTAAGTATGTGGCTTAGGAAACATTTCATCCCAATGGAACACAAGCACTGGTGTGTTTTTCATTATTTAAATATCCTCAAATCCATTATGAAAGTTGATTTTTAATTTGATTTTAAATAAAAAAAAATATTTTGTGCCATAAAACAAGCTGTGCATAGAATCATAGAATGCCGAAGGTTGGAAGGGACCTCAGAGGTCATCGAGTTCAACCCCCCTGCTCACGCAGGGTCACCTAGAGCATGTGGCACAGGGCTGCATCCAAGCGGGTTTTAAAGATCTCCAAAGAAGGAGACTCCACAACCTCTCTGGGCAGCCTGTTCCAGTGCTTTGTCACCCTCACAGTGAAGAAATGCTTCCTTAAGTTCCTGTGGAACTTCCGATGCTTCAGTTTGAAGCCATTTCCTCTAGTCCTATCCCTGCCCACCACTGAAAAGAGGCCGCCCCCCTCCTCCTCACTGCCTCCCTTGAGGTATTTATACACGCTGATCAGGTCCCCCCTCAGCCTCCTCTTCTCCAGGCTGAACAGGCCCAGCTCTCTCAGCCTTTGCTCATAGGGCAGATGTTCCAGGCCTCTGATCATCCTGGTAGCCCTGCGCTGGACTCTCTCCAGCAGCTCCACATCCCTCTTGTACTGGGGAGCCCAGAACTGGATGCAGTACTCCAGATGTGGCCTCACCAGGGCTGAGTAGAGGGGGATGATCACTTCCCTCGACCTGCTGGAGACGCTTTTCTTAATGCACCCCAGGATCCCGTTGGCCTTCTTGGCCACCAGGGCACACTGCTGCCTCATGGTCAACTTGTCGTCCACCATGACACCCAGGTCCCTCTCTGCGGGACTGCTCTCCAGCAGGTCCACCCCTAATCTGTACTGGTGTCCAGGGTTATTCCTCCCCAAGTGCAGGACCCTGCACTTGCCCTTGTTGAACCTCATGAGGTTTCTCGCCGCCCAGTCCTCCAGTCTGTCCAGGTCCCTCTGGATGGCAGCACAGCCCTCAGGGCTATCAGCTACTCCACCCAGTTTGGTATCGTCGGGCACTCCAGCCCTTCATCCAGGTCGTTAATGAATAAGTTGAACAGGACCGGACCGAGAACTGACCCCTGGGGGACACCACTAAGTACAAGCCTCCAGCTGGAGCTCCAGCTCCAGCATCCTCAGGGAAAAAAAAAAAAAAAATTCTCCATTGAAATCAGAATTTACCTACCAGATTCATCTATATCAGCATCTTCATCCCATTCCTGGAAAGCACGACTTTCATCTTTTCTGTTTTTCACCCATTCCTCATCAGGTTCTGTCTCAAGATCTGCTGCAGGACCGCTATACCAATCACCTGCTCAGACACGTGGAAAAACAACAACGATTGGAAACCTTTCTCATAACAGAAATGATTATTAGTACATTGTAACCTGATCTAGTGCTACAAGTTTTACACTGGGCTGAACCCTGATATAATTCCTGTTTCATTTAGAGTACATTATAGTGCTAGGTTACAGATCATGTAAACACTGAAACCCCATTTTTCAACAGACTGAACGGATTGCTGCAGTTCAGGGACAGATCTCTCATTTTTTAAAGTTAGATTAATTCAGAAAGAAAAGAATTGACACCTAAAAGTAATTTCTAACTTCTCTGTAACTTGCACAGATTTTAGAAGTCAAAGATAAAACTGGAAATTTTTTTTGTTTCCAATATAAATAAAAATTATATATTTTTGATTTTTTCTCCCTTAAAGCATTACAAAAGCACATCAAAGACAGGCTGTCAGAATGTTTCTTCTTTACTCAAAATTAAGGAAACAGCAGCATTTGCGTAGCTTGCAATACCACACTCCAGTGATTTCTTTAATATTCACATAATTAAGTACATGGAAATTACTATTGTATCTGCAATAGTAATTTAAGTTTTAAATTAAATAATAGTTATTTAAGAAAGACATTTAAAAGTCTGGTAATAGTGCTAATAAATCTTTTACATTCAGCTTCAAACATGGCAATTAAAAAGTGGTTATGAGGACGTGTTAAAAATTCTCATTTTAAACCTCAATTCTACTGTTCAATATGACTTATAAGACAGACCTCTAAGGAAAACACATTGATCCACACCTGAACAAAATTGGATTTTATCTCTACCTATGAACAATGTTAGAGAGGCATTTTAAAGTCAAAATCCCTTATATTTCTAAGTCATAATTAAGAAAATGTTATCATTCATGTAAGAAAACACAATAATAACACAATATGTAATAAACACACTCATGAGTAGTAGTAATTCAACTTTCATCTCTTAACTCTACAAGATGTAGGTACTTTGAGTACTTTTTCTTTTTTTTCTAACTAAATTTCAGAGCTCCTTCCTAAGACATGTGCACCCCCCTCTGTTCAGGGTATATGACTGCTGATACAAAAATTCTGATAACCAAAAGCCTTCAAACAAAAGCTGAACTTTAACTTACCTCTGGCCCAGCGAACAGGATAAAGATGTTTCCAGAGGGACCCAGTTTTCGCCAGCTGAGACCATTCCAGGCTTACTTGACTGCACTGACACAACTCTTGGGGGTTAAGGTAACTGAAAATGGTCAACATTACTTCTGGAGGAAGATTCGTAATATTTGCTGTGTGCCCTGTCACTTCGGCTTCTAAAATGCAACGAAAAAAACAGTGTGTTAAATGAGGCTCACCCTCACAGCTTTAAACTCATGTTTTGAGTAATGCAACAAAAAGCTGAAGTGTATGAAAAATACTTCAAACAATTTTTCCACTGAAGCATTAGTGTTTTTAGACAAATCAGAAGGCAATAGGCACTCCTTTGACTTTTAAAAGCTTTCATTATAATACCACCTTAAAAATAATATTTGAATTCAGTTTTGTCTGCCATTTTCTTCAACAGGCTAGTTGGTTTTTTTCCAATCCTAACCCTCAAAGCCTCTACCACAAATAAACTCCTGCTATTCAATCACAGCAGGATGAAAGCAGAACTCTCTAGTACACCTCTTAAAAATGTATCTTATGCCGCAGTTCATGTCTCTACATCTGCTTCCCACTTTTGCCATACTCCCAGGAAATAGTACCAGTACACAGAACATAAACAGCAGGGAACACTCATTTAAGCACTTAACTTCTTGACTGGGACCAAGCAAAACATCCACATTTAACTCCAAATTTGTAACTGTCTCCTATTTTTATTTCTAACTTTAGTGGCAAGTCATAGGCAATTAATTTTCAACTTCTGAACTGTGCCAAGCCATAGGGATCAGAAGGTAACAGCCAATATCGGTCAGAGGCAAAGATTTAATCATTTCAGTCTATACTTCAGTGGACAGCAGTACCTACTTCCAACAACTCTCCCTTAGTTCCATAACAGCAAGAACTGCAAACCACATAATGCATTCAGTGCCTTAGTTAATGCTTCTTTTTCTCTTTAGGAGGGGTTTTATTAGTTTGAATCACGACACGAGTTTCTTCTTTTCTGGTTCATGAGAGGCCTAGGAAGTTCACTGGTGCAAGTAAGGGAGGGAAGTTGCTTTTAATTTGAAATACCCTCAGCTGACTAACTACTCTGTATTAAGGTGCCAACAAAAAAAGTCTACAGAGGCTGCCTGAAACCCAAGAATTAAAGGCAAGGTCTCAATCATTTCTAATTTCTTTTTTTTTTTTTAATTTATATCAAAAAATATATATTTGTACATTTATGAATAATATTTTTATTTTATTAAAATTTATATATAATTTTATTATATATATAATAAAACTACAGATGGGAAAGGGAAAAGAAATATGAGAAAAGGAACAGTAGTGGTAAAGCAGCACCTATATTACAATTTGCCAAGAAGCCTGTACTATACAATAAAATTCTTTTAAGTTTTAAAATTACTTCAAAGAATTTATTATTTTGCAAAAGCTATTAGCCGCCTAAATATGTATTTAGTTATCTCACTGACATGGTGTTTAGGCATTACTTGCACATTTAAAATTGCTTTCACTTTAATGACTTCACCTTGATCTGCCTTCTCATCCACAGAATACTTAAAGACCTTCTGAAGCTCTTCAGCCTGATTCCACTTGCTAAGACCTCTGAATTCTGCAGCTTCCTTCTGTGAGCAGTGCTGTGCAATTACTTTCTTCTTAATATCTTTCAGTTCTTCGTAAGTAAAGTATTCCATCAACATTGGCTGGAAAACCTGAAGCAGGAGATTCCAGTTATTTGAAACACAGTTAAGTCTCATGCTGCTATAGATAATAGACACTGCTATCCAGAACTATTAAGACAGAACTGCCAAGACAGATTCCCCATTTCAAATTCTCAGGAGTAAAACACAACATCACAACATATATAAGTGAATATAAAGACAGGACCATGGAAGCTTTGCATTCTGCTCCTCCACTTACCAATGCATCACTGCATAGTCTCAGGCAAACTGTTTCCCTACTTTCTCCAACAGAAAAAGGGAAGTGATTAAACTTGCTTAAATTAAATAACTTAGAGATACTCACGCAGAAGACAAAAGAGCAAGGAAGAGAAACATGAGGTAAGCCTTCCCTCGGACTGACTTGAGATCTACAACCTCCAGAAGATGCTTCCCAGTTTTTGGATACCCATAAATCATCAGACTGGCAGTACAAGTCTTTATGTTCCAAATATAGGTCAGAGGCTGTTTGGGAGTGTCACTTTGAGTCATAAAGCACTAGTTTACTGGACTGCTCTTTTTCCTTAATTTTTGGCAGACTTTTGGCCAGCTACACTTTTGCTAAGTGCAAATCTAAGACTACTGTTTTATAATCAAAAGTTACAGAATGCAGACTTTGAATTATCACTTCAGTTTTGAAGTATTTGGTAAGTTGATCTTTTTTTCAGTTATACAAGTCTAATGAATCACAGTGATCGCACAAATGTTCACACAGTAAAATATTCCATCTGTATTATACACTACTTGTTCCTGTATTTTTAATTTAAAGAGTTTCAGGCACCTTAAAAAGTCATTTTTTTGTTTCACGAACAGACTAAGTTTTGCAAGCCCATACAACAGCTCATTCATGCAATAAATTAAGTGTAATGTCTGATTTAATAGCACCATTGTTTATTCCTTCTGACTAAAACTCACAGTGACATTCTGCACAATTCACATAACCCTTATTTAAAGGGTTTAGTAAAGGTCAGTCCTGGCAAAAGCGAGCCCATGTGTATATATACACACATGTATATAAGAACTTGACTGTCCTTGCAATTACGTAATACATTAATAACATCAACTTTTTGAGTCTGAGTTTTTGGCAAACAGTAAGTTTTTATAAGGGCCATTTCCCCCCGTTTCTCCCTCCCCCCCCCCAATACTTTCCATGTATTCATTTTTCTCTTCATTTTTCCAGTTTGAGAACAGACCACCACAACAGTCAGCCCTAAAAGCAAACTGTCATAGTAATAATACCAACTCTCCACCCCTTCATCTCTATTCAGTCATTCCAAAGCCCCATTTAAAAATGAGCATAATCTTTGTGTAAAAAATTGTACCTACCTCTTCTTCCTCTTTCATATGAGGAAGGAAATCCCTGGTAAAGGCTTCCAGCCTCTCCTTCAGCTGTTTCGCATAGTTTAGCTGTTCATATTCATTCTGTAAAGAAAACAAAGGTTTCACCTATTAAATCCAGTCCATTCACCCAAGCGTCAAATTTCTCAGTAAATCTGGGTTTCACAATAAAGCTCATTACATGTGCCCCTCAAATACAGTATATTCTATGAAGCAGATTTATTCCAGAGTAAGAACGTACTCAAATATAAATCTGAAGATCAGCTGACATTCTACACTGGCCTACTATGAGGTAGAACAAAGTATTCTAGATGATTCTAATATATGTTATCATCAGATATGAAATAGCTTGTCTAATCAAATTTTCATTTGGTAATAAAGAGCAAGGGTTGCCAATCTACAGTCTCACCCAAGTTCAAAGCAGCCAAACAGTATTTGCATGTTTTGCATAAGAACTAACCTGAGATATATACGTGTTGCACTTCATACTTTAACGAATGCAATTCTAGTTTCATAATTAGAATTGCACTTTATAATTATATATTTTCTATGGGAATTTACTTTGAAATGGTCAGAATTTTGAAATAAAAATGCAATTGACTTCTCAATGCTAGATAAGAAGCAAGTTAGACCAACCTCACCTACCAACAGGTTGGCTTGCACTTTGTTCTAGTACTAAGTTGGTTCTGAAGTCCTTGCAGCAGGTTCTAAAGTCTGGGCAGTAATTACAACACATGAAAGTTCCTGGTAGTTCTTACAGTAAATGTTGTAAGTTTACTTCTTTTCAGACAGCTGCATCAAAAACCCCTAACAGCTTGGCGTTGTCCGGAAATGAAGAGTCAGTGAGCACAAGTTTATGCTCTTAATTCTCAAGACAAATACACAGCAGCTCATCCAAAGAAGTGTTATCAATATTTATTATACACAATACCTATACTGTGACTATGGATAGTTCATTAAGAAATGACGATGGAAAACAAAACAATGTTAAAAACCTTTAGGTTGTAAAGTTAAATTTCTTTTTTCTCTCTAATATTTTTCTTTCTCCTTCCAGATGTTTTATTCCTACGTAAGCAGTCAACGTAAATGACAAATACACTGGCATCCTATTAGAATGGGTAAGACAGAAGCATACTGTTAACTTTCTCTCCTCCATTTATCCTCCATTTTCTGATTAACTGAAACAGCTTATAATATAAGTATTATTTTCAGGTTTCCCCGAAACCTGATAGTAAAATGTTTTTAGACAGTAAAATATATCCAATCAACAACTTTATGTTAAACATTTTCATTACCGAAAATATGGATCAACTGCCCTATAGTGTAACGCAGAGTAACAGTTTTTTCCTAAAGTAAAGAGTGAAGAAAGGAGGACTTGACTAACCCAGGGGAAAGACACAGTAAAATTCAGGTAGGGTGCGACTGGGGAAGAGCTCAACCTCAAGTAAGGAAAAAGCCAACTGAAGAAATAACACTTGCAGTTGCTTGAGGATTGCAACATGAGCAGCATTACTGAGCTGCAGGTGACCATAAGGAATAGCTAAAAGAGAGCACCTTTAAGGTGCATAATCATGTCTGTTCATGACAATATGACACTATATGGCACAGTACAAAAAATATTAACCCAGCTTCCTAACAAACTAGTAGGAGCCAAAATTGCTATAGCCAGAAACTGTTTTCAGCAACTGCTTGAACTGATATCATATTTGAAAATTCCATATTGCCTCCTCAAAATATTCTAAATTAAATGCTGATAGACCTCTCCGCAAGATATCTGCCTAGAAAGAACTTTAATAGAAGTTTAGTAACTAAAATGATTGTCAAAAGATTGTGTTTTAGACTAGAAATTTTCACTATTATATCAAGAAATCCCAGAACTTTTAGTGTCTTCTGTAATTTACTTGTGGAGAATATTAAAGAAAGGTGAGGCAAGCTAATCATAGTACGTTTTCCTTAGGCCACCCAAGTCCTTCTCGTAGTCTGCTTCGGGTACCTTACCTTTACATTCTTTAACCCTTTCTCAAAGAGGCTAAGCATCTCGGAGAGTTTGTTGTCCGAGTGCACATTGTACACTGTCCGGCTACGCTGCTGAAGCAAACCAATGATACATTCATTTTCAATCTGTTCATGCATTTTAAATTCCTTGAATGTGGCATAGAGAGACTGCAGGAGAGCCCGAAAATCATTGTTGTTGGAGAAGTTGGTCTTGGAAAGCTAGAAGAAAGAAAAGCTCATAAAAAATCAACAGTGAAAATCATTTCAAAGTCAAATCAGATCCATAGCCTCATATAAAGCCAAAAAACTTCAGTTTTATACAGAACATTCTGGCTAAAAACAGTGAGGGGAAAAAGGTAAAAAGGGGAAAAAAACATAAGTTATGAATTCAAGACGCTCGATTCAAAGGCATCAAAATTCAGGTAACAATTACCTTTGAAACATCCAGCCATCAAGCAAAATAGATAATGACCATGGACTCAAGTACATACACAGGAACACATGAACCAATTTTCTACTTCTTATAAAGTTTTTATGTAATTTACCTAATTGCTGTATCTAAATTTCAGGTAATTTCTTCCAGAAGAAGAAAGAAATAGTATTTTTTAATCTAGATTATGTAAATGCCAATGTTTATATAACTTCTAATTTAAGAAAACAGTTGGATGCAGTAACTCCAAAGAAAATCAGCTTTTAGAGAATGGTGCAACTTTAGCATTAGTTTTAAGAAGTCAGTAAAATCAGAGTTGCATTTAAGGAACATAAAACAAACTTGTGAAACCCTGAAATAAACTGATGTAGAAGATAGATTTCCGGTTGGAAATCCACGTAATCTCTCCAGCCCAGGAACGAAAGACTTGGACCCTTTCCCAGGTCTATGCGTTGGTCCCTACCGATAACCCACTCTCCTTGTTCCTTGAGCTCACCTTCAGCAATGCACCAGTGACAAGGAAGGCTGAATGGCACCCAGTGAGCACACACTAAAGAATTTCCTCACTGGGGCATTGCACTATCATTTCCTGCTGACAATCCCTGGCAATACAAATACAACACGCTGGATCTCAGCCAAGAACTTATGCAACTCCAAGGCAGCTGCACCTACAGTAGGTTACGTGCTGTACTTGCACAGGAGCAAAACGACTGCCATTTACTGGGGAGGAAGGAGGGAACTTTGCCCTATTATTTATCTGAATTGAGGCTTAGTTAAATTAATGGATTTTTTTTTTTCTCTAGTATAATTTTTTTTAAATGGTGACAGGACAGAATAAATTGGAATTAGTTTCTGACACATTGTGTTTGGATTAGAGCCATGCACTGTTATGTACGTATCACAAACAGAAAACGATCTTGGCCCCTAATTTCTTTTTGAAAATAGCTCAGAGAATGCAAAATACAGAGTAGCTGTACTAGGTGAAACTAAATGCTAGGTTTCAACATAGGAAAACAAAAGATGTCCAGCTCGAATGTAAGCACAGAAAAAGAGCTGCAGAAGCATTTTCCAAAATGGTTAGGCTTCAGTGATGGTGAAGGTTGTTTTCTAGAGTAGCATTTCTCTTGACCAAGGATCATCTCAAAATTGTTCACTCCACCCATAAAGCAGATGCACAATACCTGAAGTCCCAAATACTCTTTTTGCTCCCAAACAGTTGAACATATTTTGGTTGATATAAAAAACCAAGTTGTCACCATGTTTAACAGGAAGGTTAGAAAGAAGTATAATTTATTGTTGGGTAAAGTTACAGAAACTTGGTTCTGAAGCAAAATAACAACTTCTCATGCTCCTGACTCAAATGCTTTCCAGGGTTCAAAACCTCCTTCACCATCTCCTTACTGTTGTCAGTAAACTTGCAATAAGCAAAGGGTTCATGTGTGCATCCAGTTTAACAATTACTACTACAAAAACATCATTATAGAAGATACTGTAACATGAAATGCACCTATATTCACCCGTCCTTGAGGCTTTCAGCAAACATCAGGACGTATGGAAGTGCTGCTGAAGTTTAATGACTGTACTTGAATCAGCAACTTAGATATTAAAAAGGTCAGCTGAAGATGAGGAAAACTGGCTTATTGGAGGACAGGTAGCTTAGCAACACAGTCAATCGGTCAGGTCTTTAATTTCATTACTGGAACTGATGAAGTCTTATAATAGGTGACTAGGGCTATTAACTGGCAGCAGCTGTTCTGCCCTTAAGCTTCATTTTTCAGCAGCTCTACACAAGGAAATGGAGTGCATAAGTTCGACAGGGCACACGAGGAAAGCGTCTTGATGAAGGACAGGTGGAATGCTAAGAGAATGATCAGCTCAGAGGAAGTGGATTATATTAAATATATCTGGCCATCAGTTAAAAATACAAAGCATAGTACAAGAGCATGACCCCTGAGCAGACACAGAACATGCAGCATTGTAAATCGATTATCACAACTACAGGTATTAGAGATGCTCAGGAGCTTTGTGGAGATGCTACCTACACGTACCACGTGTGTTATAACTGCACACAGAGCAAATAGTGCCACCTCTTGTGTTCAGCATTCAGATTTGCTTGGCAAACAAACCACAGGTTCCCAAAAAGAAACAGCCCCAACCAAGGAGTCCAAACACTGGAAGGTCAATCACATTGCAAGTTCTGTCCTATCCACTTTGGAAATCTCTGTTGGATACAAACATAATCTAGAAGTGGCCAGCAGCTACTGAACTCAGTATTTATTTTTTAAAGATCTAGCACGTTAACTTTGTTTCTTGTAATTTGGGGGGAGGCGAAGGGTTTATTAATTCAAGGTGCCAGCAGTGATGCAAAGAACCAGTCATTATGTTTACCCACGCTATCCTAGATAGCAAAATGACCAAACACAACAACAACACTCTTCCTATCAAACCAGTCATGTTTGGAGGTTTACAGTACTCTTAAAATAGAGGCTGAAAAAAAAAAAAAACTGAAATGCTGTTTTCAGCAATGCAAAGTGGAATCTGTAAACTCGTGTTAAGAGGGAGGTCTTAGAAGTTCACTATCATGGATTCATGACCAGGAAATTCATCCTTCCTTTGCAGGGAAGCATAGTAACTCTGAATTAAGAAAGCACTTGACACGCATCACTTTCTAAATCTCAAGTTATTCAATTAATGAAAATTACACTTGAGAAAGTACATATAAATCTTTGTACCTCAGGCAATTATATACTCGTTTTAGATAGAATGGCTTAACTCCACTGGACTACAAATCATTAACATAAGACTTGTAAGCAAGAGGAAGGCCCACATCCAGAGAGGGCACACTGCCTGCCTTACTGTAAGTTATTTCATATTTTGCTTCAAGAATAAGTGAAAAACAATACTAGGAAGATTAGCAATTTGTTTTTAAACAGTACTTCATTCTTGTGATACTCAAGGTAATTCTGCCTCCAGTTCATACATCTGCTTTGTGGTTTTAGGCCTTGCTTTCATTAAAAAACATTTCTGTGTGATGAGGGCATTCCTAGCCACAATAGATGGACGCTGTGAATAATTAAGAAAGCTTGAGAGTGCTCCCATTCCATGGCAATTGAGTCACCAAATACAAAACAGGATCTGGTTTGTTTTTGAAAGCACTTGACATATGTTTTAACTGGGGAAAATATGCCTTCTTATAAGAAATACTTAATATTTAGATTAGATTATTTTTACAGTGAGTAAATACAAATAATTATTTCCTCATATCTACTCCAAAAACATGTTTACTGAGTGGAGAGGGTTTGATTCTTCCTTTAAAATGTCCAAGCACACTATTAACTGGCAGGGGGAAGAAACGAAAGGGAGGGTAAACAAGCTCCTCTTATCAGATTAGCACCTCGGGAAGCAAAGGCTGGGCTGCATGCGAGCTTTCCCAGTCACAAGTAACTCCCACTGCAAACGGGGAAAATAAACAAAGATATCAGAGAAGAGAAACGGGAAGGGCAAATTGCTTTTCCATTCTATCCAGACATTTTCTAAGTTTCAAATAAAGCGAAAAGTGAACAGAATTTCATAAATTGCTGTATTTCACACAAAGGGTCTCCCACCAGCACCTAGGACTGCTAAACAGCCATTACCATGAAAATTAACCCTGGAATCAAATAATAGTAAAGGTGGACCTTCCATTTATTTCTATTTTTCCCCACTCCATTTTCACATATTGCTATTTTAGCATTTTAAACAGGACATTCCAGTATATTCTCATTTCCATGTATAACCACTGTGCTTAAGAACTATATGGGCAGTTGATTGCCACTAGTCATACTTGTTTGCTCACATTTAAAACTCCTCAAAAAAAAACCCTACTACTTACAAAAATAAATCTTGTAATTTTTTACTTGGCAAACCACTCCAGTTTCAAAAAAAAAAAAAAAAAAAAAGACTACAGGAAAAAAAAAATAAAAAAGATAAAAAAAGGAAAGTAACACTTGCATTACTGGTGAAGCACAAATTTTCACTCTTCGTTACATCTTAGGTGCTATCACTTCACATCACATGCAACAGCACTAAAACTCAAACAACAAGAATTTTAACTCTGTGGAGATATTAAGAACCATTTATGAGCCAGAAGATGAAGGGACAAAGATCATCATAAGGTGTGGCAATGTCGACACCACAAGCAGGGCAGGTTTCACCTTGTGCTTAATCCCCTGTGCGCTGGCAGGCAGGTGGAGGGAAAACCCAGAAGTAGCAGAACCTGTCCCTGTCTCCAGCTCTTCTGTCCTGCCACTTCCCTTCATTATGTTCTAGCAGTTACACAGTTGCAAGAGGAACCCATTCAGTTTACTAATCCCTTCATAAGTCAGGCCTTTTGGGGCATCTATTTTTCTTCTGGCCAAGTGAGGCAAGCGCAGGAGCAGCCCTTCAGTGACCGCGGGCAGTTACACTCACGTCACATGCAGGGTCTTGCTCAGGAATCTGCAATGACAAGTTCAGTTTACACAGTCCCCAAGCAAAAACTGCAGTATGGAGATAGCCTAGTAAGAAGAATTACTCCCCCTCCCCAACTTATTTTTTATAGAGGTATATGAGATCAACAGAGAGTTAGCTGAACCACTTCATGCTCCAGCTGTTCAGACGTGTGAAGCCATTAGATCAGAGAAATAACACAGGTTCTCCACACTGGTGCTTTTCTTGGCTATGGGTCAACCCAAAATAACAGTGCAAAAGGCAAGACATGATTTAATCTAGTCCAATGTAACTCTCAAAAAAATTCAAAGCTTTCAAATGC